GTTGCGATCCCGTTACCGGTCAGTAAAAAAAAAAAGACAAAAAGAAAAAAAAAAAAGAATATAAATCATATTATATCTCTGCTTAAAACTGTTCATTGGTTTTACATTTCATTACATGTGAAATTCACGCATTTTTAAGAACTTGCTTTGTTCTTACCCCAGCTTACCTTTACATCTTATCTCTTGCCACTCTCTCTTTACTTTGTAAATTACTAGCCACACAGTTCTTCCTACAGTTCCTGGAATGTGCTGAGCTTTTGAGATATTTTTGTACATGCTATTATTTAACCTTGAGAGTTCCTTCCTGGCACTTCACATGGTTGGCACCTTCTTATTTTTTAGAGTCTTACCTATTTACTCATTCATTGAGTTTGATTTCTTCATTGGCACTTTGTAGTTACTTGTATGTCTTCCTCATTAAGCTGTAAGCCTCGGGAGGTCAGGGACTTTGTTTTCCTTACTATTTTATACATGTCATATAGTAGGCAGACATTTAATAAGTTGTTTTGAAATTAGTGAATGGTAGTCCACAAAGCACATGAAATAGGGATATTTATAATTTAAGTAGATCATTTTAAGATTCAAAAGGAAATCCTACATTTTAACAGTAAATCATTGCTTTTAAAGAAAAGTACAATGTAGGATCAGTAAATTTTAGATTTCAGTCTTGTGATTTTTTGCAAAAAGTTAAATTTTTTTGTATTTTTAAAATTGTGCACTTTGTGAAGTCCAATTTATCTATTTTTGTTGTTTGTTGTTGATTATGCTTTTGTTGTCATATCTGTTTGATCATCATATCTCTTTATTCTCCTCGAGTCTGCACCATTTCCATAGCCTTTCTTTGACTTTTATGGCATCATAATTTTGGAGAAAACAGTGTCCCTTTTTGTTTAAATACAGTGTTTCTCATTCTGTATTTGTCTGAAGTTTCCTTGTGATTATTTTTAGTTTATGCATTTTCAGAAAACTGCGTAGTTGATGTTGTGTCATTCTAAGTGTATCACACATGGACACACAAGATGTCCCTCTGTCCTTCATAGGTGATGTTAATTTTCATCACCCAATCAAGGAGTTGCCCAGTTTCTCCTCTGTGTACGTATTGACTACATTAAATTAGTTTGAGTAAAGATACCATAAACAAAGTGTAGTGTCGAGACACACACCACCATCAATATATCCAACAAACTTCATGTATTCAGAATTTTAAAATGTTCAAAATACTTAAACAGCCACTTTTATAAAAGAGTATATCAAAATGGCCAGGGATCAGTGAAATGGTACTCAACATCATTAGTCATCTGATAAATGTAAGTTAAAATCACAGTGATATATTATACAACCACCACAGTGACCAATAGGGAAGAACTGGAACTCTTACATTGCTAGTAGGAGTATATAAATTGATACAACCACTTTGAAAAAAATGTTTGGGCTGGCTGGTTAGTTCACTTGGGAGAATATGGTGCTGATAACATCAAGGTCAAGGGTTCAGATCCCTGTACAAGTCAGCCATCATATTAGACCCTTATCAGATGTATGATTTGCAGACATTTTTCTCCCATTCTGTGGGGTTGTGATTGTACTATTTTGATAATGTCCTTTGATGCAAAATATTTAATTTTGATGAAGTTCAACTTATTTTTTCTTTTGTTGCTTGCGATTTTGGTGTAATATTTAAGAAACTGTTGTCTAATCTAGGGTCATGAAGATTTACACATCTGTTTCCTTCTAAGAGTTTTATAGATTTAGCTCTTACATTTAGGTCTTTGATTCATTTTTGAGTTAATTTTTGTATGTTGTGTGAAGTAGGGGTCCAATTTCAGGCTTTGGTATGTAGGTATCTAGTTGTTAGCACCATTTGTTGAAGACTGTTCTTTGTCCATTGAATTGTCTTGGCACCCTTGTCAAAAATCAGTTGACCCTAGATGTTTGGATTTATTTCTGGATTCTCAGTTCTGTTCCATTGGTCTCTGTCCTTATGCCAGTATCACATTGTTTTGATTCCTGTAGCTTTATAGTAAGTTTTGAAATTAGGAAGTGTGAGTCCTCTAACTTTATTTTTCTTTTTCAATATTGTTTTGGCTCTTCAAAGCCCATTGCAGTTCCATATGAATTTGAAGTTCAGCTTTTATGTTTCTACAAAAAGAGGCCTTTGGAATTTTGATAAAGATTGTATTGAATCTGTATATCACTTTGGGAGTATTGCTATCTTAATAATATTGTCTTCCCATTGATAAACATGGAGTGTCTTTGTGTATATTTAGTTCTACTTTAATTTCCTACAACAGTGTTTTGTAGTTTTCAGTGTGCAAGACTTGCATTTTCTTTATGGTGCTATTATAAATGGAATTGATTTCTTAATTTCATTTCCAGAATGTTCATTGCTAATGTATAAAAAATACAGCTGATTTTGAGTGTTAATCTTGTATCCTGCAACCATGCTGAACTTGTTTATTAGTTCTAATAGTGTTTTCATGAATTTCTTAGGATTTTCTGTATACCAAGACTATGTCACCTGAGAGTAGGAATAGTTTTACTTTTTATCCAATCTGGATTCATTTTATTTCATTTTCTTGCCTCATCTCTGACTAGAACCTCCAGTATAATATTAAATAGAAGTGGCAAGAGGGGACATCCTTGTATTGTTCCTGATCTTAGGGGGAATGCACTATTAAGACTTACTAGTCTTCACTATTAAGTATTCATAGATGCCATTTATCAGCCTAAAGCATATTCTCTTCAGTTTGTTTTATTCTGAGTGTTAAAAGGTGTTGAATTTTGGCACATACATTTTTCTGTCTATTGAGATGATCATGTGGTTTTGTCCTTTATTTTATTAATGTTGTTTATTGTATTTATTGACTTTTGTATGCTGAACCTGCCTTGCTTTTGTTGGATATATGCCACATATTCATGGTGTGTAATTCCTTTTCTATGTTCTGGATTAGGTTTGCTAGTGTTTTATTGAGGATTTTTGCATCTGTATTCATAAGAGATATTGATCAGTAGTTTTCTCTTCTTGTCATGTCTTTGCTGATTTTGGTATCAGCGTAATACTGGCTTCACAATGAATTGGGAAGTGTTCCTTCTAAGTTTTTTTTGAATAGTCTTTGAATAATTATTGTTAATTCTTTAAATATTTGAAGGCATCTTCTGCAGGGCTCTTATTTGTTTTTCATTTCTAATTCAATCTTTTTACTTTTTTATAGGTCTGTTTAGATTTTTTATTTCTTCTTGAAATAATTTTGGTAGTTGTATCTTTTTAGGAGTTTGTCTGTATCTAAGTGATCTAATTTTGTTGATGTACAGTTCTTCATAGTATTCCCTTATCCTTTTTATTTCTGTAAAGTTCCTCCATTACTGTCTTTTGTGTTAGATATTTTCTAGTGTACTATTTAATTAATTTATTTATTAAAAATTTTTTTCTTTTGACAGCTGGCTAGTATAGGAATTGAACCCTAGACCTTGGTATTATCAGCGTCACACTCTAACCCAGTGAGTCAACTGGCTAGCCCCTGTGCTATTTTATTTTATTTTATTTACTTATTTTGGGGGGCAGCTGGCTGATACGGGGAACTGAACCCAGTGCTATTTTAATTCTCTGGGTTTTTTGCTATTTTTTAAAAAATTTATGTTTTAGTGGTTGACCTGGGGATTATAGTTAACATCTTTTTTTTTTTTTTTGGGGAACTGAACCCAGTGCTATTTTAATTCTCTGGGTTTTTTGCTATTTTTAAAAAAATTTATGTTTTAGTGGTTGACCTGGGGATTATAGTTAACATCTTTTTTTTTTTTTTTTTGTCTTTTGTCTTTTTCCGTGTCCAGCAACGGATCGCAACCCTCAGTGTTGCCCCCGCACCGGACCGGGGACCGGCAACGGGATTGCAACCCTCGGTGTTGCTCCCGCGCCTCGCTCAGCCAGTGAGCGGGAACCAGTCTGCATGTGGGATCCGAACCCTCGGGCGGGAGTGCCGTCGCGCTTCCCAAGCGGCGCACTTATCCAGTGCGCCACCGGGTTGGCCCTATAGTTAACATCTTAACAGTACAGTTTGAGTTAATAACAACTTAATTGCAATAGTATTACAAACACTTCTTTTTTATATAACTCTATCCTTCTCCTTTCCTTTGTGCTATTATTGTTTCATAAATTATATAATTATTATATGCCTAGCAGCACAGTTATAATTATTGCTTTATGCAGTTTTCTTTAAACCAGTGTACTAGTTTCCTGTTGTTGCTTATGAAGAAAAGAGTTAATATAGCAGGTCTCACTGCTTTTCCTTAGAAAGGCTTGCTCACGAGGTCAGCCTTTGGCTGGCACCTGTGAACTTGGGTTTCAAGAGGATTCCAACATCTCTGATAACTGATAACGGGTTGAGGGTTCCAACATCCCTGATAAGTGTTTGTACAAACACTATGGTTTATGCTGAATACCTGCTTTTCTTCTGGGAGTCTAGAATTTTGGTTTGTGTTAGGCAAGAGTGCCTACATAATCAGCCTCCAATATAAAGCACCTCCTCTGTATTAGTTGGTTTCTGTTGCTTATAACAGAAATACCCGAAACTGTGTAATTTGTAAAGAAACAATATTTGCTTACCATTTTGGAGGGTGGAAAGTCCAAAGTTCAGGGAACATATCTGGTGGGGACTTTGTTGGCAGAGTGTCACATGGCAAAATGGCAGAAGCAGAGAGAGCCACTTCTCATGCCCTTTCCTTTTAAAACCCTCAGAACCACTCCCATGACTATCATTAAACTATCAATGGATTAATCAGTTCACTAGGGCATGGTCCTCAAAACTAATTACCTCTTCAAGGCCCCACCTTTCAATTACCTTAATAGGATTTCCCACCCTCTTAAGACTGTCACAGTGGAGATTAAGTCTCAGTGAGCTTTGGGGTGACATCCAACCCATTACATTCCCCCGCTAAGATATGTAAAGTATTCACAGTGTTGTTTATACGGATTTTTTTTTGTGTGTGGCTGCCTCCTCCATTTCTTATTATTAATTTGTTCACCTTTTTTTTTTTTTTTTTTAACCTTCTAAGGCAATAAAGAATGCTGATGGGAGAACCATTTTCCTAATTTTCAAATTACCAAGCTGGTTGCCACAATGGGTGAGTTCAAACTAAAAGCATTTTTCAGTTATTATTAAAAAGAATAGAATGTGGGAGACAAAATTTTTTCTACTATGTGTTATGATGAACCTTTTTATAATGAAATTTTATGATGTAGCAGACTTACGTAAGGTTTTATGTTTATTTACTTAACAGATTTTCAGTTAGAGTACTTTTTGTGTTAATTGTTAGTTTTGGAATGCCTGTATTATGCAGGACACAATAGGGGCATTGAAAATAAACTGTTAAGATGGATTGTGATTTGCTTAGAGTCTGATGGCAAGAGAGAAATAAATCATAAAATTTTATAGCAGAATAGAGCAGCAAATCATTGATGCTCAGGGAAGATATGTTTTACAACTCTTGTTAATATCCTTTGGTTTCATAATAGTAATCTAAAGGGAGAGAATGGGTTGTGGCTGTTCAGTTTATGTATCATTTTGTTTTTCTCTTTACCTCCTTTTCTTTTTTATTTTTTTCCTTTTCTCCTTCCTGTTGCAAGTTCCACTGTAAGGCAGGGATTCGATGGGGAGGCACTAGAAAGAAATGGAGCAAATGGCCTGCCCTCTCCTAAATCGGGAAAAATGGACTGAGTAGTTGGAGGTCAAGTTTTTAAATGTAGATTCATCCTGATATCTTAACTCTGACATTTACTTGCCAAAGTTTGTCTTTCACCCTTTTTCTACCACTTGCTTAACAAAACAAATGCATTATTTATACATGTTCACATATGTAACATCAAGGGTGAAGAGCTTAAATTTGCCTGAGTTCTTTAGTGGAAGGGCTAGCATACTTTTAGTGTATGTACTTGTGACAAGTGTATAAGCCAAAGCTTCACCTTCCTGCTTTTAAAATTTCTCTTCCACTTTCCCTTCTGTAGCCATAAGCGTAGTACCCTGTTGTAGTCCAAATTCTTCACTCACCTCCCGGAGCTCCAAATTGGATATACTTTTACTCAACTACTGTCAACTTTTCATTTTACTTGCTCTCACTTGCACTCTGAGCTTATGTATTTATCAAATTGATTTCTATCATCCTTCTCAAATAATACTGCACTATAGTAAGCAAAAAAACAAAGAACAGCTGTTGCTTAAAAACTTACACAAAGGTAATCACAGAAAATCATGACTATTTACAAGTGCGAATCACAGATATTTGATTTTTTTAAAAAATGTTCGTAGTTTTAGATATTTGAATTATTGATTGAGGATGTTCTCCTGTAATTATTTTTCAAGTATGAATAAGCATATAAGGTATCTAATCCAACATTTCCGATAAATGAAATTATTTCCCAATTGTTTTTCTGGTATCGTGCCCAATCGAATGTTCTTTCTACATATGTCAGAAACCCACTGCTGCTTCTGTGTGTCCATTTGTCAGAGTTGGGATCCTCTGGGTATCTTTACTGCCTGTTGGGTCAACTCATGATCCTTATGATATTTATAACCTGTCTAATCTGCCTAATACCTTGTGACCACCACCGGGATTCTTAGTAGAGCAAAACAAGAATTGTTTTGTCTAAGAATTGTTTGAACAATGCTTATTATAGTTTGAGTATGTTTACCACTATCCTTGATCTTTTGTGGATTTGTTAGCTTACATTTTGTCAGCCTCCTAAAAGTAAGTTTCCTATCGGATACTTATCTATCATGTTATTCTTCTTCAAGCCAGCAAGAGAAGGAACTCAATTAAATTGCCCTTTGTTTTGTATGTCTTCTTCCTAATATTTGAACTTTTGTTCAAATGGCTCTTTCCTTTTTTAGAAAACTGTACTCATTTCTTTTAACAAGGAAATAAGTATATGTATATAAATGTGATAAGAGATTTTATACAAAGCCTTCACAGGCATTTATTTATTTTGACATTGTGATATTAAACATATAAACATGCCTAAATTCAAGCATTTTTAAGTTTTTTCTAGTAAAATAAAATAATTACAGCAATATAGATACGTTTAACTATTAGAGTTCCCCTCCTACCAGTGTAAAATTAAGGATCTTATCTTTCTCAAGAAGGTAATGTGAGATGATTTTATTTCATTTGAGACCATTCTGAACTTATTCAGACAGAGGGAAAATTTATCAATAATTGACCTATTGATGGTATACCTGCTGTGATTACATTTTACCGACTGGGCCAGTTACCTGTTTATATAAACTAATTTTATGACAAAATTTTATTTTACAAAGGAAACTTTGCAAAGGATTATAGAATTTTCTCTTAACCTGGAATTTGTTAATGAAACCATTGCAATAATTTAAAATTTTAATATGTAAATAATTTCACTACAGAATAGAATATATTGAATGTTATTAAAAACTAGTAAGTTAGAGAAATCAGCTATTTGTCTATTTGAAAGACTATTGGAGCTATTGAATTGTCAGAATATTTTTAATGATTTCCCTTACAAGATGTAGCATGTTTTGATTATTACTACTCTAGGAACCTAAATTATTGTTCACCAAAATGGTTATATTTTAAAATATCAGGTCTCTTCATTCCTTTATTTATCAATTATGGATTATCATTAATAGAATTGATTTACTAGTGAAAGTCAATTAATTGTCTTTGAAGCCTTCCAGAGTTTATAGTTGGCCTATCTAGGAGATACATAAAGTCTCATAATGAAATCTTTGATATATTGGGAAGAGACTAAAAGTTCATGGTTCGTGATACTTTCCCTCAATTTTATGGACTTAGAACTTTTTCTGAGGAATGGATTTTTCTTCCGTTGTACTGACCATGATCATTTAATGATCTGTTTTATGTTTGTAGTCTTGACAACTCTTATTTATTTATTTATTTTTTTAAAAGATGACCGGTAAGGGGATCTCAACCTTTGGCTTGGTGTTGTCAGCACCACGCTCAGCCAGTGAGCAAACCGGCCATCCCTATATAAGGATCCGAACCCGTGGCCTTGGTGTTATCAGCACCACACTCTCCTGAGTGAGCCATGGGCCGGCCTTTGACAACTCTTATGGTGAAGAAGTTTGAGAGAAAACTTCCAAATATCTGTAGGCCACTATCCACAGATGAAAATTTTCTTTGTTTCTGACTCTTAAGTATTGATGAAAGAAAAAAAAAAAAAACCCTCTAAAATGAAGTCTGTACTTTGAATATAAATGCCAAATGGTATTTATACAAAGTTGTTTATTTTGTCCCCACTTGCTTTTTTTTTTTTTTTTAAAAGATGACCGGTAAGGGGATCTTAACCCTCGACTTGGTGTTGTCAGCACCACGCTCACCCAGTGAGCCAACTGGCCATCCCTATATGGGATCCGAACCCGTGGCCTTGGTGTTATCAGCACCGCACTCTCCCGAGTGAGCCATGGGCCGGCCCCCGCACTTGCTTTCATTAAGATTTTAGGTCTTGTTGATTTTTTTTTCTTTTTCTTTTTTTTTCTGAGTCATAGAAAAGAATTTGTTGTAACAGGGCTGCTTTGACCCTTATCCTTGAATATTAAATCATTAGAAGAATCAGAGTGACTTCATCTCACCTGCTAATGTCTAATCTGTGGACCTCTAGTCTGATGCTAGAGCTTGAGATTAGTGCAAGTTTAATGTTATTTGTCGTCAGGATTATTTTGTCTTCAGTTTTTAAATAATTAAAATTTTATTTCATCAAAAGCGAAGGCATTAAAAATGTTCTAGATGCATTTTTTGCATTAAGTTAATGCATTTTTTACATTAAGTTTTATTATAAATTTTGTGTTTGTTGTCTGTGATAAATATATTTTAAAATTATAATTCTGTATATGTGTTATTTTAAAAATATCTAGATGATCAGCAAGCTTTGAATTCAATCATGCAAGATTTGGCTGTCCTTCATAAGGCCAGTCGACCAGCATTATCATTACAGGAAACCAGAAAAACAAAATCTTCATCACCAAAAAAACAGGTATTTGTTTCAATAATATTTTAATAAGTATATTTTGTTGGTCTATGAATTATTTTTCTTTATTATCCCGATTGTATAGAGGACTTGTTTAATGTGTTCAGTTTTATATGTTTGAATCAAATATTTTGTTGTTATACGTTTTCCCATAAGTGCACATTTAAAAAAAATGGTAGAGTTTCATTCAATGTGATAACTGCTCTATAAAGCTGATATTTCATCCGTTCCTCAAGCACTAAGATAAACAAAAAGTTTTTTTCAAATAGTTTACTCTGTATTTTTATAAATGAGGGTGATTTAGATTCTTACAAATGAAATTAGTTTGGAATGCCCAGCATGAAAAGTGGATTTTACTATGACAGGATTGGCAAATGTCTCTCTCATACCCCTGATGCCTTCACTAATATATCTTGGTGCTCTTTCCTCTTGAGTCCAGATTCAGCAACATAATTCTCAACCGAGCTTTTTGGCAGACACTGTTAATTGATTGGAGCTGGCACTACAAATGACACCTCCTTCCCCCTGTTCTATTTTAAATGAGTGAAAAGAAAAAAAAAAAGATTTAGAAGTTCTAGAAATTTTATCTGATCTCTGAATGATTGTATGACTGATTTGTTTTTCACTGCAGAATGATGTCCGAGTCAAATTTGAACATAGAGGAGAAAAAAGGTAAGGAAGGAAACTTGATATGTGTCAATTAATTCATTTAATCAAACATATATTCTAATTAAGCTATTAAAGGGTTTTTCCAGATTTGAATGAAGTTTATGGCTTACAAATTAAGAATGGAGTAGTCCTTGGTAATGTTAACGTGTGTTTAAACTTAAGATAGAATCTGTCAAAATTCAGGCTAAACATCAGAAATTATTAATTTTTTTTTTAACTTTAGGGAACAAATAAGGTCACTGCATACTGCAGCCTTTAAATATTATTTCTTTTTATTTTTACCCTTATCATAATTGTATCATCCCTCCAGATACTATACAGAATTTGTCTATAGATTTCAAAATTCACAATTTTGATTATTTTCAAGAGACCTCAATGCTATGACTTGTGTTTCATTAGTAATGTTGAGGAAGATGAGTTGGATTGGTGGCTGTAAAATATTTAGCAGAGATGTAAACCTAGCCTTCCACCTGATATCTGTATCACAATGCAAAAGTGCTGGTGGAGGCATTTGACAACAAAATTTCTAACAAGATCTAATAGGAGTTAGAGAAATTGGGATTTCATTTCTATTAGTGTCTCATTAATTATTTTGATTAAAAGCCTGTTAGTTTTAAGGACTTTAAAATGGCTCACAAATCATATAACTTAAAGATATAAGCATGTTTTACACAAAGATGTTGGAAAAAAATAGAATATGTCAGATATACCATAGAACTGTTATTCAGTCTAGTTTCCTATTTAAGAATCTTTTATGGGTATTTTCCCAATTTTTTTATTCGTTCAGTACTATTTATTGAGTATTTACCATATGCTAGTCCCTGAAAGAATATGTGAACAAAGAAGACATGGTCTTTCCCCCTTATAGACCTTACTGTCTAGTATGGTAGTCTTCAAGCTTTAGGTGCATGCTCTCTAGAGGCAGCACAGGCCAACCCTTTGGGATTTAGGAACAAAATACTAGAATTTTAATTCATTTTAAAGCTTTAATTTGTTTAAAATATTTATTTTGGGGGCCGGCCCGGTGGCGCACTGCTACAGTGCGCCGCTTGGGAGTGCGGCGGCGCTCCCACCGAGGGTTCGGATCCCACATACAGACCGGCCGCTCACTGGCTGAGCGAGGTGCGGGAGCAACACCAAGGGTTGCGATCCCGTTGCCGGTCCCGGTCCGGTACGGGCGCGACACTGAGGGTTGCGATCCGTTGCCAGTCACGAAAAAAGACAAAAAGGAAAAAAAAAAAAGAAAATATTTATTTTGGAGGTATGTTTACATGATGTATGTGCTCAAAAATGTTGAGTTGATAAAGATACAGAAATGAAAATTTGGATCTTCAAAGAGCAACTTTATTCAACAGTTTCATTGCATTCTACTATGCAGATGTCACAAAGTTAAGGTTAATCACTTTCCTCAATGGACGTTTTATATTGCTCGTTAAGATTCATATGACAGTTGCAATGCAAATTGAAAACTGCAGACAATTTTGAGAATTTTCTTATTAAAGTTTTTACTAGGATAGAACAAACTTCAGAGTTTTTGAAGTTTGTGTTGGAAATTTGCACGCTTGATCAAAAATGAGCTGTTGTAGTGTTTAAGTGAATATTTACATACTTTTTTCTTAATTTTATATTTCTCTAACAAGAGGTAACTGTTGCAAGTATACTATTTAACTGTGCCTAAGACAATAAAATACTTTAAAATTCTATCTATATAGAATTCTTCAGTTCCCCAGACCAGTTAAACTGGAAGATCTGAGGTCTAAAGCTAAAATTGCCTTTGGACAGTCTATGGATCTACATTATACCAATAACGAGGTAAACACATACAGTTTAACTTTTAACTTTTTAACTTTTTTTTCTTATTTTGGAAGGAAGTATGTTCATTTAAGAGACTATTTTTAGAACTGTTGTGTGTTGACTTAGGATTGATAAGGATATGCTATGTCAGAGAAATAAAGTATCACAAGTAAATTAATAAATTCCAAGTGATTAAAATAGATTTTTTTCCATTTTGGAAAATAGTAGAAGGTGCTACTATGCAAATAATTGAATGAGAATCTATTGTAGAAGGAAATATATGTATTACTTGGAGTTACTACTTATTTATGTTTTATTTTTACTCTGCGTATTTTGTTGATGAATTATCTTTTCCTTTCATACTCTATACTTGGCTACAGACAATAGAGCTTTGGTAGTCAGACAACTTAGTTAAAACTTAGAGGACTATTTTAGTGTTGGTTAGGGCCTCATAAATTATTATGCTTATGTTTGGGAGTCAGTACAGTAGTTCCCTGTTATTCACAGTTTTGCTTTCCAAGGTTTTAGTATCTGTGGTCAACCTCAGTCCACAAATATTAAATGAAAAATTCCAGAAATAAACAATTCATTAGTTTTAAATTGTCCATAGTTCTGAGTAGCTTGATAAAATCTCGCCCTGTCCAGCTGCAGCCTGCCCTGGATGTGAATGATCCACGCTGTATTGTTACCCACCTGTAAGTCACTTAGTAGTCACCTTGGGTATCAGATCATAAAAACAAAGAATATATATAGTTTGGCACTATTGTGGTTTCAAGCATCTGCAGGGCGTCTGGGAACATATCCCCTGCAGATAAGGGGGGGTCTATGTACATGTGATCTTCAGGACTCCCTCTGGCACAGAGGAGCTCTGTGTTCTAAGGAAACCCCTTTTTAATATTCTGTAAAATTCTGATTAGATTAGATGGTCTCTGAGGTTTCTTTTAGTTCTTGATATCCTATGAGATCGCAAGATCTTGAGATCTTAAAATTAACAGGGACAATTTAATTAGTTAATTGATTGGTTGATTTGGGTTTTTTTAATCTTTGGAAAATATTTATTGAATTTGTCAGGCTTAATGCTATGACTTATGAATTGCAACTCCTCATGGAGGAGACATTATAGACTTGTGGTAGAAGCAAACAATAAATGAGTTTTTTAAATATATGAAGTTTTTTGAGAGATATGCATAAAGTATTGTGGTAAAGAATTAAGGCAAGGGCAGTCAGCAGGAGTCCTATTGATAATATTAAGGAAGAACTAGCTGAGGTAGTGATATTTATACTGAGACTTTAAGTATGAAAATCCAAGCCTGCAATGAGTTTCAAGGCATGAACATTGCTGGTAGAGAGAGTGGCTTGAGATTAGTGTATACAAAGATCCTAAGATGGAAACGACTTACATGTTTTAGGAATAGGAAAAGTGCCAGTGGGAATGGAGTGACAGTGGAGAGCTTAGTAAAAATTAATGCAAGAAAACATGTGAAAGTGCTTTCCAAATGTTAAAGCATTGTGCAAATAAAAATATTTGAAAATATGAGATTTTAAATGAATTGTTAATTTAAAGCAAAAGGAAATGCTAGTGTAGCTTGTCTAAAGAAACCACGTACAACTCAGAGATCAAAATATTTTGATAAAGTAAAAATCCATATCCTAAAAAGTTGATATTACACAAGTAAAACGATGAGTACTATAGTATAGAAATACCTTGAAATTTTATTTTTCAGATACTTTTTTAGGTTTTCAATTAGTCATGAATACATCTTGTTCCCCAGCTCTATCTTGGCCACTCATTATTTCTGTTCATGCTGGCCTGATTTCCAGTTGTCAGCCCCTGACTTTGAGGGCTTTCCAGAGGTGTGACCACAAGGGCTATAGTACATATAGGGTTGATGGCAATGGGAAATAGGCCTCAGGGGTGGAGTTGGTGGACTCCACTTGCCCACGGTCACAACTTGCTGGATGACACACCCCTTATGGTCCTCCTTCCCTTTGTTTTCCCCATTCCCCTGCCACTGTTTCCTAGTATCTTTTCCCATATAAATGACTTGAACTTTTGAATTCTTAGCTCATGGTATGATTCTAGGGGAACCCAGACATACATTTTTTCCTTTTTTTAAAAAAATCTAAAATTGTATCATGAAAACTTCCAAATGCCAACATACATTAAGACTACAATATTTTCTTGATCTACCAGCCAAGAAAAATAAGGTTAGTTTGACATGCTTTGTCTGTATTATTCCTGTGCTAGCTCCTAGAATTGCTGTTTCCTTTCTGAGTTCTCACAGTTTGTTTGTGTAAATATTTCCGGGATTTTTTTGAGGATTGACATCAAGCTAACTGATTTGTAGTTTCAGGAACCCTTTCTCATTTTCTAAAAATAGGAAGATTTCTCCATTTTTAGTTTTATTTTTCTTATGCTTTCTGAAGGATTTCTGTGAATGGTTCTGCCATTATATTTGAGTGGCCTCTTGGTAGGAATGTGGTAGAGGTGGCATTAGGGTAAGAATGCATTTAATATTTCTTGCAACCCTATGATTCTGTGAGTTAACCATGTCCTGATTCACTTCATGACATATTGTTCCAAACCAAATGCACGACCTTGGACACTGGTGGTACTACAGAAAATCTTATGAGGGGTGTTAGTTTCGTGGACCTGTGAACAAGCAAAAAAACTCATTTATAGTGCATGCTACTCCACTTCTATAAATATCTTTTTCCTAGTGTAATATAAATTTCTCTGCTCAAGATGAACTATTATTCTGTAAAATTCTAGTTTGCTAGAATTGAAACAACCAGGAACTTTAAGCTGGGATTGGTTGGATTTGTTAGTTTGGCTTCTCTTTATCTAATAAGGTGCTGGCAGTGTGTGTCTGTATGCTTGTGTTTGTGTGTGTGTTCTTTTGGGGGACTGGATCTTTCCAATTTCAGATGAATAGAGCAAGAAAACCTTTTTTATGGGCTATTTTCATACTTCACTGTGTAAAGTCAGGAAAATTCACTTCTTTCAAATTTAAGTTCTATTTAATATGTTCTTGGGTTCAATTTTTAGTTTCCCTTCCAGAAAGGATTTATGTTAACATACAATGGATTTATCAAAAATAAGTCAGTGGGGAATAGATGATGCAGGGCATCACACAGTGAGGGCTGAGCAAGAGCACATTAATGTGCTCACTTGCCCTCCTTATAAAGCCTCTGGTGACCCTTCTGTGATAACCTCCTCATCCAATAACCCAATGATCCATGAATGGATTAATCCGTTCATGAGGGCATAACCCTCATGATCCAATCATCTCCCAAAGGCCCTACCTCTCATTACTGTCACATTGGGGATCAAGCTTCAACATGTGCTTTGGAGAGGACATTCATACCATAGCAAGGCTGAAATGAATTCACCAATCAGGAAAAGGAAAACATTCTGTGATTTATTCAGTATGATTTAGATAAGCTGGAATTTGTTCTTGACTCTTAGTCCTCATTTTACAGTTTGTAACAGGTGACTTTAGAACAATGGGAAATCTCCTTAGGACTATAGGCAGTGTCTAAGTTGCTGCACCAGGTGCTGCACATTTCATGGCAGCAAACTGAAGAAGAGCGGAATCATTTGTTTGTATTTGGTTACTGTCATTTAAATTAGTGTTCCCCCCCACCCCAAAGCAACAGTATCTTGGAGAAGTAAGCAATTCAGTTATAAATAAATGTACAATAAAAGTAAATATTCAGATTTTCCCCTCAATGAAAAATTGGCAGAATAGTCTTCAAAATATTTAAAGTATTTTAAAATATTTCACAGGGCTTAAAATATAATAAAAACAATATTGAAGATAAGAACAAGGTGTGGTTTATAATTGGTAGGAGAAAATGAGAGGAATTTAATTAAGAAGATCAGTACATCAGGCTTGTTCGATGATAATTCTTTTTTTTTTATAAACATTTTTTTGTAGAGAAAAAAGAGCCGGATTAGTGGATAACTTGTGGTAGTACAAAATTAGTGACAAATAGAAATTGGAAATATAATTTTGGGTCCAGAGTAAGTAAATATTAAGCAGATTGTGTGATGAAATTCACAGAAATCCTGCTTGGTATTTGTGTCTGGCACCCTTTCTTCAAACAAGGACTTTTTAAAAATAAATCTGCAGTAAGTGAATATACACCATGCCAGCTAGTGGGTTTGAGTGCAGATTGAGCCTGCATCCCTGTGATATTTATTAAACAACAGTTACCAAGTGTCTGCTCTTTGCTGTGCTGTGTGCTAATTGCTGGTGTGGGGTTTTCTTGTTCTCAAGGACCTCAATCTAACTGGGCCTTACATTTGAGTGGCTCATATACTGTGCTAATTAAAACAGGTTAACAAGTGTGGAATATGTTCACTTGTTTGTATTCTGTCCCTCTTTTAATAAAATAGAATATTCTTTGAAGTTAATGACAGAGTTTTCTTAAGCTACTTTAAGTTGTATTTTAAAAAAAAGAAAGAAAAAGGTATTTTGATTTTTTTTTTTTAATTGTGTGAATCATACTTTCAGGTGGACACTTTTGTCCTCTATGACACCTGATCTATGAGAGGGCTAATGAAAGCAAATTCTACATTCAGGGTTCACTACTGGATGGCTGACCCATTTAGCTTATTCATTTTAGAGTGTAGTGGCCAGGTTACCAGGATCAGTGATAAATCCCAGGTGGGCTGTAGATTGCAGGTATGTTACTAGTGGCAGCCCTCCATGGCAGCTGTCACAGATCAGGATATTGGTATGTCAGTAAGTGCACTGAGTGACAGTGCAAATATGTGGTTACTACTGGAGAAAGAACTAAGAGTTTCATCTCTGCAGATGAAAAGTAGTATCTTTATTTTATACAGTTTTTGTATGTACTCCTTAATGTTGTTTTGGGGTGAATATATTGTAACTTAAATTTAGCAATATTATGGAAATATCCTAGAAAATTAATCTTTAAATGTATTCTCTATTTTTTTTCTTTTGGACTGGTAAGGGGATCGCAATCCTCGGCACGGTGTTGTCCGCACCACGCTCAGCCAGTGAGCACACTGGCCATCCCTATATAGGATCCGAACCCGCGGCCTCGGCTCTACCAGCTCCACACTCTCCCGAGTGAGCCGTGGGGCCGGCCCTTTAAATGAATTTTCTAAAATAACATAGAATTTAAAAAAATTTATCCATACTCATTCTAAGATTTTAGTGGTAGGATAGGGAGAGCAAAATAGTCTAGATACATACATTCATTCAGACTTTCGTTTTGTTACTATAATGAACAAAATGAGATTTATAATTCCCTAGTAATGGAGATGCTCATAGAAGAACTTGACCTGAGATGGTTGCATGATTCCTTATGTTCTTTTTTGTTTAGTTGGTAATTCCATTAACTACCCAAGATGACTTGGACAAAGCTGTGGAACTGCTGGATCGTAGTATTCATATGAAGAGCCTCAAAATATTACTTGTAATAAATGGAAGTACACAGGTATGAATTGGGATATTTTTCAGCAAGGATTATAGGATATATGCCAGTGAAAGTCAATATATGAAACATAGTTAGGTTCTATAATCATTTATATATTTTCAATATGATTAAATAAGTTATAGTCATAATTACAAATAAGTAATACATTGTACATATGAAACTAATAGAAACTGACAACTCGGAAAGAATTACGTTAGAATTAAAATTTCAAAGACTAGGGGATTTGATAAGGCCCACAAACAATATAGAATAGCTAGGTTGTATTTGGTAGGGAGAGGATTCTGTTTTAAGCCCTAAAGGGGAAGAATAGCATTCATTGTCCTTTTTCCTTTGTAGGCTACTAATTTAGAACCATTGCCATCACTAGAAGATTTGGATAACACAGTATTTGGAGCAGAGAGGAAAAAACGGCTTTCTATAATAGGTAAGAAAGCTAGTGTCTGAATCATGAAATGGGTGATGTCTTAATTTCTTCTCTATCCTTTAATGTAGGGCAACACTTAAACATATTCCTGATAAATTCCATCCTATTTCTGTACTCTCTGTAATTTAGCTAACCACATTCTAGTATCTGATGTCCCTTGAAAATTCATTTCAAGTATTACAGGATTAGCAATGTCCAATTTAAATTCTTATACCCAGGGTGTTCTAATGTTTGACAGATTTAATGTTTTACAAATAAAATGGAGGAAAAGAAGAATGTAATTCCTAGTGTATTAAAATTGATAGACTAGATTCTGAATTCATAAGCCTTTCTCTAGAGTTTTAGTTATTTCCAAGAATGCTATCAAAATAAAGATTACTAAGAATTTCCAGATTATGCTTTCTTATTACTTTATTAATATTCAATTTTTATTTGCCATTAATAATGCAGTTATAGGGCCGGCCCGGTGGCGCACTGCTGTAGTGCGCCGCTTGGGAAGCACGGCAGCGCTCCTGCTGAGGGTTCGGATCCCACATACAGACCGGTTCCCGCTCACTGGCTGAGCGAGGTGTGGGCGCAGCACCGAGGTTTGCTATCCTGTTGCTGGTCCCGGTCCGGTACGGGGGCGACACTGAGGGTTGCGATCCGTTGCTGGACACGGAAAAAGACAAAAAAAAAAAATAAATAATGCAGTTATAATAAAGCTTATGGTATAAGGAAATAAGGATCCTGTGTGCTGTTCTTTAAGGAGGCCTTATTATCGAGGCATGGGTTAGGCAGAGGGGCTCTAAACTCCCCTGTTATGTGTATCTTCTTCAGTTTGTATAAGACATTGATAGTCTACATCTGTATATGATAAAAACATTACATTGCTCAGAAAACCACTGGTATGAATGTTTTTAACAGGACAGTGAATGTGGTCATTAAAGATAGCATGGAAAATACGTATGAAGAGTGAACTTAAAGGGGAAATGTAGAAGAGAAGAGAAACAGCTGAATAGGGAGGAAGGCGGAGAGTGGAACAAAATAAGAGATGTGGTTGGGAATCTAAAAAAGACTAATAGAAGAAGATTGTTAATAATGAAAGAAAAGATTAAATTGGCATGTGAACCACGAGAAATCTATTGTTCATTTTATGACCATTGTGTTCCAAGTGTCTGTCTTTATGTAAGTCCTACTTTTGTCTTTGTTTTATTTATTTATTTGTTTTTTGTGGCTTGCTGGTACAGGGATTGAACCCTGGACCTTGGTGTTATCACTACCATGCTCTAACCAACTGAGCTAACCAGCCAGCCCATTAGTCCTACTTCTGGTTTCAGAAGTGCTGGAAATGTGAGCAGCAGAGATGATACACAAACAAAATAAAAATGGTTTGTCCTTATTCAGGTATATTTTGATTTAATTTAAAAATGTGATGAAAGAACATTTGGGATACCTGAATTCAAATTCCAGCTCTCTGATTAACCTGAGACCAGTACATTTGTCCTCATGTTTAAGTTATGGGATGGTTGTAGACTTAAATTGCAAGAACACTTGTAAAGTACATTTTACTTTTTAAAATAGAAAGCATGACTACTGTTAATTGTCCATTTCTTTCTTTTTTTTTTTTTTATTAAGTGTGACCTTTTCCATCTCCCTTGGCATCTTCTAGTTTATTTTATTTTATTTTATTTTATTTATTTATTTTTATTTTTATTTATTTTTCTTTTTGTCTTTTTTCGTGTCCGGCAACGGATCGCAACCCTCAGTGTCGCGCCCGTACCGGACCGGGACCGGCAACGGGATAGCAAACCTCGGTGCTGCGCCCGCACCTCGCTCAGCCAGTGAGCGGGAACCGGTCTGTATGTGGGATCCGAACCCTTGGCGGGAGCGCCGCCACGCTCCCAAACGGCGCACTGTAGCAGTGCACCACCGGGCCGGCCCAATTGTCCATTTCTATCTTTAGCTCCATTTTTTATCACACTATAGCACCTATCATTTTTAAGTAAAAAATTGCCAATTCACTTAAGTTGCATTAGACAGAACAAGCTAAATGCACTAAATTGACATTTTGAATTAAAATTTTACTGAATACCTCAATCTCATTCTGCTGATAAATATTCTTGTTGTTTGACTTCAATGCCAATGTAAGAAGAAACTGGAAATTGTAACGTATAGAATTACTGGTCTTTTATTGGCACTGCTGTAAACAGTGACCATTATCTTTTTTTCTGATTTGTTGACAAGTATTCCCTTTAGTTATTTTCATAAAAGGAAGCTAGAGGAAAAACTTTCTTTGGGATGGGAATGTACACGGTGTACAGGTCTCAACCAAGAGTGTATTGGCATACCCATTACTAACAAAAGTTAAGAAAAATGGGTTGTCAAGTAAGGTGATGAAGAAATTTTTGTAGCCTTTTTTTCCTTCCCTATCTCCTTTTAGTAATTGAGTATACTGATCTCTTTAGTATACTGAACAAGAGTATGTGGAAGGAATAAAAATATTATATATAGTGTGTGGTCAGGGACCAATATAATCATTGTGGCTATAGTTGTTATAAAGTCTAAATCAACCCTAACTCAAAGTTGAGCCCCTAATCATTTTACTAGCAAGTGTGGACAGTGATCTCTTTTGTGCACATCTGGTGGTAATCATTTTGTTCTTGTTCTCACTATTTTACTAGCAAATGCTGCCATATACTTCAGCGACCCCTTTACATAAGGCTAAAAGCCCTTTTTTCTTTAAATATGATCAGAACTTAAATGCTCATATAACTTCCCCATATTTGTTTTATAGTTTAATTTCGAAAAATTATGAGAAAGGGGAGAAAATATGTTAATAAACATAGCATCATTTCCACAGAGCCAGGTTAAAATAAAGTGGGTTACTGTCTCATAAGAAAAGTGATTAATTAAAGTAACTATCTTAAATGCTAGATTCTCCATTTTTCTAAACAATGAAGAAATTTTAATTCCACGAATATGGCTTACCACAAAAAAGCCTAATTTTAAGTACCCAAAAATGAAATCCAGGATTCTAAATTGAAAATACCTTAATAGTGGCTAAATGACTAAGAAGTAGTTTCATTTTAGGTTTATAAAGATTAAAAAGGCAGAATGGAAAGAATACATGGAGCCAGATGTGCACAGCATATGTTCATTATGAATAATTTTACCATCACAACACTTTTGCAGAGAAGGGATTTAGTCCCTTTTTACAGATGAGGAAATTGGTTCATGAAGATTGAGTAATTTTCCCAAAGACACACAGCTGGTAAATAACTGGAACTGAGATTTAAACTGAGGTCTGACTGCAAAGCCCATATTCTTTCACTACATTATGATGCCTTTTATAAATTAGGTTAAAAGTTAACATACTTGGGTATGAGTTACCTCTGGAAGTTCAGAAGCAGTGGTATTTATCTAGAATTCAGCATTGTATTGTCCACTAAGGATGCAGTTGTCAGCAGTCAGAAGAACATACTACTACTATAAGTATAAATGAATATTACAGTGAGCTTAATAATTACAGAAGGGTGGGAGTTTAGAAAGGGTATAAAAACATTTGAAGTTTTTACAAACATGAATGTTTTGATAAGTTTTAATAAAAACTGGATTTCATTTTCTGTAACTTGTTGGCGTAGTTCAGAAATATAGCCTATTCAAACAAAAATTGATTTCCTTGCTGATATTTATAAAATCATACAATTGTTTTCTCTTCTGAGGTTCCACTAGTAGAGATAGAAGTTCTCCTCCCCCAGGATACATTCCAGATGAATTACACCAGGTTGCTCGGAATGGGTCATTTACTAGTATCAACAGTGAAGGAGAGTTCATTCCAGAGAGCATGGACCAAGTAAGCAATAGTTTGATGCTGTTTTTTATTTCATTTAAAGGGATGTCGTCAGGGTCATTGTGATTTGACAGGTATCTGGGGTGTGTGTGTGTGTGTGTGTGTGTGTCTGTGTGTCTGTGTGTCTGTGTGTGTGTGTGTGTGTGTGTGTGTGTTACCTCTTTCCCAATCCCATATTTTTCTCCTTAAGTGAACAAAATAGTAAAAAATATGGGAAAATGCCACTAATTCACATGTGCCTGCATTGATGCACGAAGAAAACTGGAATAAGAATGGTTTTCTTATATTGTTCATCCATAAATAAATGAATTAATTCGTTTTGTAATTCTGGGATTAATGTTCAGATTTTTTATTTAACATTTGAAAGATAGAGTAAAACCACAAACATTTAACTTTGTGAAGATGAGGTTTGTGAAATTCTTAAAACATTTTAAAAAATACTTTGGTTTTGTAGTATCTAAATGTTTTCGTCGAATTGCTGGTATTTCCTTAACATTGCATTGGATGTTCACCCTATGCAGTAGTTTACATTTTCTAGTAATGTAGCATTCACAATGTCATTAATCTCAATTTGGGTGGGGCTGTCCAGTTTTTGGTAAGAAAAATTATGTGAAATATTTTAGCTTTTAATTATTTAGCTAATAGTCTATGGAGAAAGAATATTTTTCTCTTAGGAAGTTTTGAAGTTGTGGCTTACCTACAAGGGACATTTAAACATGAGTGTAACTCTGGAGAGTGAACACTATTGCATATGGGGTTTCATTCGGGGGTCCCTAAATGTTTTAAAACTTTGGTGAAGGTTGCACAACTCAATATAAATAAAGAGCCGTTTATTTAATTGGGTAAATTTTATGTTACATGAATTATATTTCAGTAAAGCCGTTTTCTTTTTTTTAAAGTAACTTTTGGTTCTATCAGATTGAATCATAATGGAACTCTGTTTTCCTAGATGCTGGATCCATTATCTTTAAGCAGCCCTGAAAATTCTGGCTCAGGAAGTTGTCCGTCACTTGATAGTCCTTTGGATGGGTAATGTTGATTGTAGTTTTTGTTTTTTAATATATACGGGTAAATATGCATACAGATAGCACATTGAATTATCTGTAACATTTTTTGTGATACGTTCAGAGGAATGTAATTAACTGATACTTGTCTATACTGATGGCAAATGAATTTTTCCACAGTGTGGATAAATGTCTTATCCTCTTGGGACTCGCTATCTTTATTAGTTAAAATGATATCTGAGGGCTGGTGGGTTAGCTAAGTTGGTTAGAGTGTGGTGCTGGGTCCAGGTGTAGGGTTCTCTCCCTGTACCAGCCAGCTGTCAAAAAAAAAAAAAAAAAATCTAATCATAATATTTTGAGTATTCCTGCTTGCCAAAATTTTGTGTTTGAAGACTAATGCAAACTTAGAATTTATGTATGTTTACTTTAAAACTGCTTGTGAAACTGTTGCCAAATTTTTCATTGATGTTTGGTTTTGGAGATTTCTTAAGTTGTTTCACCTATTCATGATTATGTTCATTGTGGCACCAGATTAAAAATAACTCACATTTTTTCGTGGTAATTGTAGCCCAGTGTATCAGTTGTCATTACAAAAATTTAAGTACTTTTCTTCTGTGAAATAGCCATTTAGGAATATAAATGAGCAGGATCAAATTGCAGCTGTGAAGTTTTGTTCCAAGTGCTCCCTCTCCTGGTCTCAGTAGGACAGTGTTCTTGGTAGTCACCCTGTAACACAGAGAATAATCAATATTAAAATCTTTACCTGTTTAATCTCCTCTGGGATTGCTTTATGAAAGCAAATTCTGAAAAGATAAGTAACATTTTTGGGGAACGTACATTTAGTTTTCTCTTATCTGTATATATGAAACCTCTCTGGGTCAATGTCTACCTCAAGGCAGACATTTAAGAAATTCAGGAAAGTAGTAATGAGAAGCTATGTATTGAGTACTTACTATTTGCAAAGCACTGTCCTGAAAACTTTACTTATATACACTTGATCAGTTAGAAATTATTATCTCCTTTTTATAGATGCAGAAACAGTCTCAGAAAGGTGATTTGCCAAAGTTGCAGTTAAATAGCAGAGCTTGGATTGAAACATAGGTGTTTCCAAACACTTGTGATTCCAAAATATATTATTCATATTGCTGAACTCTACAGGTTAATTTTAAAAGCCAAGTTTTTTGCCTGTGTAAACCAAATAAGTGTTTAAAAAGAAGTTTCTCTTTTTTTAAGTTATGTTAACATTTCGGAGTGAGCTCCTTTATACACACACACACACACACACACACACACAGATAGATAGATATAGGTATTGCTTAAGGAGTTTTTTAAAATGTCTTATTTACATACTTTCTCTTAATTTAATGTGACATTTTCTATTTATAGAGAGAGCTATCCAAAATCCAGAATGCCTAGGGCACAGAGCTACCCAGATAATCATCAGGAATTTTCAGGTTAGACTATATAAATTCTAAATGTTTAAAAGTTTATGTCATTGAATAACATTTTGGCTGGGAGGGAGAGAGGACATTTTTGAAGAATCAGATAAAAATTTGTAAGTGTGTTTTTCATCGTTAGAAATATTTGATTTTTTTTATAACATAATTTTCTTATATGTCTTGACAGACTATGATAACCCTATCTTTGAGAAATTTGGAAAAGGAGGAACATATCCAAGAAGGTATCATGTTTCGTATCATCATCAAGAGTATAATGATGGTAAGTTTCTGGCAATTAGACCACAAGAACAGTATGTTTAAAATCTCAAGAAATAAATATAAAATTTTAAAGAATGTCATATTTATATAATAGTATTAAAAGTAAATTTGTTCCTGGATCACTTAGTTTTCCGGTTTAAAAAAAAAGGTTTTTGAGGAAATTGGGTCATAACTAAAACTATAATATTTTAGCTTCATGTCAACTTATCTCATAATCCTTGTCTTTCCCTTAAAAGAAAAGGAGTAATTTAAAAATATTAATTAGAAAATTATTTTTTATGATAAAATTCATACTTTCATTGTCCCTTTAAGAAAAAAATTGCTACCTATAAATTTTCTGATTTTTGTTTTATATTCTAAAATGCTTATTGGAAATCAGAATAAAAATTTTTTTCTCTTTTTTATCCAAAAGTGAGAGGTTTCTATCCTGTGATTTTCTTTTTTTTTTTTTTCCTTTTTGTCTTTTTTCGTGACCGGCAACGGATCGCAACCCTCAGTGTCGCGCCCGTACTGGACCGGGACCGGCAACGGTATCACAACCCTTGGTGTTGCGCCCACACCTCACTCAGCCAGTGAGCGGCCGGTCTGTATGTGGGATCCGAACCCTCGGGCGGGAGCGCCGCCATGCTCCCAAGCGGCGCACTGTAGCAGTGCGCCACCGGGCCGGCCCTACAGGAGGTTTTTTTTATTTCCCCCCAACATAATTTGGATGAGTCTTCTGTTGGATATGTCTTGCAAATATGTTCTGCTGTACACCGGGACCGGCAACGGTATCACAACCCTTGGTGTTGCGCCCACACCTCACTCAGCCAGTGAGCGGCCGGTCTGTATGTGGGATCCGAACCCTCGGGCGGGAGCGCCGCCATGCTCCCAAGCGGCGCACTGTAGCAGTGCGCCACCGGGCCGGCCCTCTATCCTGTGATTTTCGTGTGTGTGTGTGTGTGTGTGTACATGTACGTATGCGCATGCATGTGTGTTTTACCATATGAGATTATTTGAATCTCTATTCAGATCCTGTTTATTTTTTTTCCTCACAATCACTGCTATTTTCAGTTTCTTAGCCTAGTCACAGGACAAATTTCTGTTCCCTATGTTACAAATAATAAACACTTTAAAAGTGTAGCATATTAATAAAAGGCGTAAGGTAATTTCTGTTTTCATTTTGTAGGCCGTAAAACTTTTCCAAGAGCTAGAAGGACCCAGGGTACCAGCTTCCGGTCTCCTGTGAGTTTCAGTCCTACGGATCACTCCTTAAGCACTAGTAGTGGAAGCAGTATCTTCACCCCAGAGTACGATGATAGTCGAATAAGAAGAAGGGGAAGTGACATAGACAATCCTACTTTGACTGTAATGGACATCAGCCCACCCAGCCGTTGTAAGTAATAGAAATTGGCATAGTAAAATGTGTAGCAGAACCTTTGCAGAATTTTATAGTATTAAAGGGAATAAATACGGAGCAAGTCCTCAGGCTGAGAACTCCTGGAAAGAGGTAATAATGGTGTTTATAAAGGTGGTTAGAGTGTCAGATGTAAGCATAGTATCACTGCTAATTACTTTAGATAATTGTGTCCTTTGCTTTTATTAAGAAAATTGTTACTAGCTAGTCATTTTTTTCATCCATTCATTCCACATATCCTTGTTGAGTGCTTAGAATTGAGATTTCAAACATGACCTCTAAGATATACTCTAATGGCGAGAATGATATATGGAGAAATAATTACAGTGTAGCATTTAATTTAGATCTTAAATTACTGATTAAGGAGGTGACGTGCATATTCTGAAAATGGGGAGTGATTCCTTTTTGGTTGACATGGGGGATATCTTACTTGAAATAGTAGGAATAGGACTACAATGGTAACTAAGGCCAGATTGCAAAGTGTTTGTACTTTATCATGTAAGCAATGCATACAAAGATTCATGCTCAGAAATATTCACTGCAGCAATATTTGCACACTCTGACTTCCTCCTTTTTGTGCTAGTATTCTCATACTTTACTTTTATATCTGTGACCCCACACAACATCGCTATTGTTTTTGCTTTAGATAGCTATCTTTTAAAATGACTTAAAATAAGAGAAGAATGTCTTCTATATGTACCTTCAGTTTATCCATTTCTGTAGATCTTTATTTATGTAAATCCAAGATTCTGTCAAGTATCAAATTCTTTCCGCCTGGAGAATTGCATTTAACCTTACTTGTAATACAGGTCTCCTGGTAATAACTTCTTCCAGCTTTTGTTTGTTTGAAACAAACATTTCTCCCGCATTTTGAAAGATATATATATATATTTTTTTTCCTTTTTGTCTTTTTTCATGACTGGCAACGGATCACAACCCTCAGTGTCGCGCCTGTACCGGGGACCGGCAATGGGATCGCAACCCTCGGTGTTGCGCCCGCACCGCGCCCAGCCAGTGAGCGGGAACCGGTCTCCACATGGGATCCGAACCCTTGGCAGGAGCGCCACCGCGCTCCCAAGTGGCGCACTCTCCAGTGCGCCACCGGGCCAGCCCTGAAAGATATATTTTTTCTGGATGTAGAATTCTGGGAATATTTTTTTGTTTGTTTTGTTTTCTTTCAACATTTTAAAGCTCTCTCTCCATTGTCTTTGGCTTATATGCTTTCTGAAAAGAAATTTGCGATAGTTCTTATATCTCTTTCTCTGTATGTAATATGCTCTTTCCCTCCTCTGGTTGCTTTCAGGATTTTCTCTTTGATTTTCAATAGTTTGAATATGATGTGTCTAGGTATATTTGTGTGGGGTTACCAATTGGTGTTCTCTGAGTTTGTTTTATCTATAGTTTATCTGTGAAAAATGCTTCAAGTATTTATTCTACCCCATTCTTTTTCTTTTGGGATTTCAATTACCTGTACAGTAGGCTGTTTGATATTGTTCCACACTTAACATTCTTTTTTAAAAATTTCTCTCTCATTGTGTTTCAGTTTGGGAAATTTATATTAATCTGTTTTCAGGTTCACTGATTTTTTCCTCAGACCTGTTGAGTCTGTTCATAATCCTATTGAAGGAATTATTTATTTCTGCGGTTGGTTTTTATTTTTTGTTATGTTATTGTTTTTTATTTCAAGCGTTTTTCCATTTGATTCTTTCCTCTTTGTTGAAATTCTCTATCTGTTGATCCACATTGTCGACCTTTTCCATTAGAACCTTTAACGTAACATGTTAATCATAGTTATTTTAAATTTCCTTTCTGAATCTCTTGAATCTGGTGTTGATTGCATTCTGTTTTGATTGGGGGGGGGGAGGCATTGCTTTCGTGTGTGTGTGTGTGTGTGTGTGTGTGTGTTGTAATTTTACAATGAATGCCCAGACATCATGTGTAGGACAACGGAGATCAAGGTAAATAGATTTTATGCCTGGAAATAGGCACAGCTCCTCTGCTAGGCTATTATTCTGGAGGGTTGAGTCAGTGTAGTCAGGAGTTGAGCTGGATTTGGATTTTGTTGTTGCCATGGTTCCTGTGGACCACTGACTTCAGATTCCTCTAGTGTTGCCTTGTGCTGGTTTTCTAGAGGGATTTTCTCAGTGGTCCTACTCCACCCTCAGCTTTTGGCCTTCCTTGTGTGCCTGCCTCAGAGAGGAAGGGTCTCTCTGTGCCCTCATCCTTCCCTCAGCAGTCGATTGCTGATACTTGTTAGCCTAGTATAGGGGGAGGCAGAATGGAGGATTCTTTGTCCTGTCCAGCTTTAGTCTTAGGCAGGCTTTGTCTCTCTACTTCTCAGAGATGGGCTTTCTCAGTGATCCCTGCCCATCTTCCAGGAGTAGGAGAACTCCAGGGGTCTGGGCCATAGAAGGTGTTTCCCACCCTCCCTTAGGAATAGGGTTTTTGTTTTTTTTTCTTTTCCATTCCCCTTGCTTCAGTGGATCTTCACCTGAAAGCGGAGGTGACAGAGTTTGCTGCCCTTCCTCCAGCATTTTAAGGTCCTTTTTTCTTAGAGGAGAAGGATTTGGGAGGGGCTTCTTACCTTTCCCTCGACAGCCATTCCCCTTCTCCAGGCTTCCACCACCAAGGAAGGCTTTCTCTGGTTTCCCCTTCCTGTGAGTGCATGATGGAGGTTCACTGAAAAGACTCTGAGTAGGTGTGTCTGGATCTCCCAAGGGTTTAATACTCTCACGCCAGCCCATACTTGTTAAAAATGGAGCGGAGTTCTTCTTACATACTTAAAGCGTATTTCTCTGTGCTCTGCCACAAGTGAGTCAGTGCTTGCATTCCTTCTCTCCTTGGAGGTGCCTGTTTTTCCTTAGATTTCGGGTTAGTTGGTTGCCTGTCAGTCTCAGTTTTCTGATATGTTCAATAAGGTTTATAATTTTGTTGATTACCCAGATTTCTCTTGTTGTTAGAATGGGAGTGATGCTTTTTCCAGCATCATTGTAGGCAGAAGCTGAAAAACTAATTACAAATATTGCTGCAGTAAAGATTAGAGATAGTGCATCTTACAATCAGTGGCATCTTAGATTGAGTGAAAAATGTTGTCATATTTGTAATCAGACAGAAAAAACCCATCGGAAAAAAAATGAGTCATGGGGATACAACCTTTGTTTGGGTTTGTAATTCTCAGAACACTGAGGAGAAAAATTTTGAAAGATGGTGACCATTATGAATTTGGATAGTTATGATTTTCCCTTATATCCAAGCACATTCAATAAGGGTATCACTAATGCAGTATACTCATATAGTCCTTAACCGTTCATGTGCCATAATGACCATTATGAATTTGGATAGTTATGATTTTCCCTTATATCCAAGCACATTCAATAAAGGTATCACTAATGCAGTATACTCATATAGTCCTTAACCGTTCATGTGCCATAATGACCATTATGAATTTGGATAGTTATGATTTTCCCTTATATCCAAGCACATTCAATAAAGGTATCACTAATGCAGTATACTCATATAGTCCTTAACCGTTCATGTGCCATAATGACCATTATGAATTTGGATAGTTATGATTTTCCCTTATATCCAAGCACATTCAATAAAGGTATCACTAATGCAGTATACTCATATAGTCCTTAACCGTTCATGTGCCATCCAACTGCTCCATTTCAAAAAAGTGTTCTTTTTCAGCACCACGAGCTCCAACCAACTGGAGATTGGGCAAACTGCTTGGCCAAGGAGCCTTTGGCAGAGTCTACCTCTGTTATGATGTTGATACAGGAAGAGAATTGGCTGTTAAGCAAGTTCAGTTTGACCCTGATAGCCCTGAGACCAGCAAGGTAAAAATCAATGTACAAACTATTTTGTCACATTATAAGAAGCATTTTTACTAAAAAAAAAAAAAAAAAAACCACAGAATTGTTGGTTTTCCTTAATACACATTATTGGCAAAACAAGTAGATTGTATATGCTTATTTAATTTGTACTACGGATTTTCTTTTTTAATACTTCAGTTATATTCCTAATCTGATTAAATGTTGCTTTAGCATACATAACATCAAGAACTGTGTAAAAAGTCATTGGTTAGAGACTTTAAAATGTTTGTTCTTTGGGAAGTAAAAATTTCACAATGAAATTACCTTGATAGTCCATGAAATTAGAATTTTTTGCTTTTGCTAACAATGTTGTAAAGACTTAACAGTGAGTTCTGTCTTTCAGGAAGTAAATGCACTTGAGTGTGAAATTCAGTTGTTGAAAAACTTGCTGCATGAGCGAATTGTTCAGTATTATGGCTGTTTGAGGGACCCCCAGGAAAAAACACTTTCCATATTTATGGAATATATGCCAGGGGTAAGTTAGTACTTCTTTTTGAAAATAGATATATTCTTCTTAAAAGTCTTAGTTGAGCAAAGAAAAACAACAAAAATTCTTTGTGAATTGTTAACTCTAGTTAAGGACATTGTGGAAGAGTTTTAAATTCAAGCTGCATAATATTTTATTTTGTATCCTCTTCATCTATCTTTGTATTTTTTAACTCATTAATACTGAAATATTCTAAAGTAGGTTACAGACATCATAGCAGTCCATCCTCAGATTTCCCTAAATGCCCAAAAATGTCCATTATAGCTGATTTATCCAAACCAGGTTCTAGTAGAGGACCACCATTACATTTAGTTGTTATGTCCCTTAATTCTATTTTTATCTAGAACAGTCAATGTTTGCATGATACAGATTTGACAAAAAGACCAGGATAGTTCTGTTAACAATCTCACTTCATGCATTTTGTTTAATTTGTTTATTTACCCCTTTGTTTCCTGTAAACTCCGAATTAAATCCAAAGTCTAAATTAGGTTCCAATTCAGACTTTTTTTTGATACCTTATAGATGAAGCTGGGTACTTCATGTTACATCCCATCAGGGAACATACCATTTCTGGTTGTTCCGTGTAGCAATGCTAAGATTAATTGCTAGATTAGGGTGAACTGACATCCTGATTTCTGCAGGGTTAAGTTTTATTTTTTTCTGCAGACCAGAAAATAATTGAGATATAGCAGTGGCACATATGAGTATCCCTTTTCTTTTCAACCAACCACCTGATGTTTTTAAGACCAGTTAGTAGTTATTGCTTGGGTCAATAATTTCATTAGGAGTTGCAAAATGTGATTTGTGACTTCTGTCATTCCTTATATGTTATTTTTCATATTTGTAGGGTACATTCTAATACTAAGGATTTTCAAGATCGTGGTTGGTATATTTATTCATTTAAAAATACATGCATTCTTTTAATCTAATAAGTAGCATATGTTAGAAAAAGTTTGATTTATGGATCTTTACAGAGGTAGCTGATCAGAATTGTATGCAGGATGAACAAGGTTTCAGTTTGAGCTTATGGATCAATAAGTCTGTGGATCAATATCTGAGAGTAATGTTCTCAACTATCCTCAGTATCACAGAGCAACAATAAGCATGCTTCTTATCACCATGAATAATTAATTGTTCATAGTAACACACATTGTTACTCAGTGGTTATCATTACCACTACTTTTTTATTTTCAAAGATTCTGTTGCCAGTATAAGTTGGTTTTAAAAATATCATCTTTGGAATACAAATTGGGGAATGTATTAACGGCCATAAAATTGTTGAAGTTTTTTGACTTGGTGGTCTCACAGAAATTTATTCTACATAAGTAATCTGTATCATTCCATTTTGGTTGCTTATAACATAAATACCCGAAACTGGGTGATTTATAAAGAAAATGAAATGTATTGCTTACAGTTTTGGAGGCTGGGAAGTTCAAAGTCCAGGGAACACATCTAGTGAAGGCCTTTTTTGGTGGTGATTTCAGCAATGCAGTGTATCACATTGTGAAAATGGCAGAGCAGAGGAGAGACTCTCTCACGTGCTCTCATTTTAAAGCCCTCAGAACCCCTTCCACAACCACCATTTTTAATCCATTCATTAGGGCATGGTCCTCAGAATCTAATCACCTCTTCAAGGCCCCACTCTTCAATTACCATAATAGGATTTCCCACCCTTTTGACAGTCACAGTGGGGGTCAAGGTTCTAATACATAAAACTTGGGGGACACAGTTGAACCCATATCATAATCCAAAAGAAGGGAAAAACTATGTACATTTAATTTAGTATTGTCTGTGATGGGAAAAAAGGGAACATCAGTGGACACAGTAGAAGTAAATTATGATGGCATTCTCTCAAGAGAATATATGTTAAAAGTTAAAATTAGGAAGGCTGTGTAGCAAAGTTGGAGGAAGTACTTATAATAAGAGGGAGAGAATATAAAGTGCTTTTTAATCATGATTAAAATATTATATATCTGTATTTGGACAAAGAAGAAACTTAGAAAAATGAAAATGTGTTGCGATTGTGGTAGATTTTCTCATTCACATTTCCATTACTGATTGTGCAATAAATATTTAAATTAAAAATAGAAAATAATTATGAATAAGTATGAATAGACACACAGATTGAGGATAAGATTAATTAAAATAGTTAATTATTTGAAATAGTTAAAACTGATACATAGAGATGAATAATTTTTATATATTCTGTAATCTTAAGGGTAGACCAGGACTATTTAGGAAGAGGTAGTAGATTATGTTTCTCATTAGCTATACTTGGTTTTATAAGGGCAGCTATCCTCTTCAAAGCTTAGGTTGTCATTTGTTGAATTTGGAAAGCATATTACTAAATTAATAATAGCTCACTGATAATCTCAATGAATTGTACAATATAAGGCAAGCCCATGGCAGTTGCTGGACATATAAATTATGTTTCTAGGATTGGAGATTCAGGAATCACCAAGTTTATGAATGATGCTGTATAATTTTTTCTCATTAAATTTAGTGTGATGGGCTTCTTTTATGCCCTGAATTCAAGCTCTGGCAAAACTGTCATTCCATTTTTCAGTTTTTCCAAACTTAGCATTCCATTCTTTAGTTTATCTAGAACTACTTTTGGACTTGGAACCATAACTTTCTTTCATTTTTAGTACCTTAGCTTCTGTCTGTTACTCTGTTTCTCTCTCACTCACTGTTTTTAGCTGTCACAGTGCTTCTCAACTCATTCCAGTTGTACACACTGAAGAAGTTAACATTTTTATAGTACACAGGGGTAAACAGACTACACTGATGGAGCTGTTAGCAGCCATGTCCACTGGCCCAGCTGCCCAAAGGATGCATAACTCCAGTACCCATTTGCAGTCTACAAGTATTTTTTGTCCTGTTGTTTGGAAAGCTCAGATCTAGCAGAGTTTCTTTCTTTCTTTTTTTTTTTTTTGGCTGGCCAGTACAGGAATCAAACCCTAGACCTTAGTTTATCGACACCATGCTCTAACCGACTGAGCTAACTGGCCATCCCTAGGTCTACCAGAGTTATTCTGTGTATTACAACAAATAGAGACTCAGTAAGTAGATTATGAACAAATAAGCCACACTGAATTGTAGGTGTGAATGATTAACTAGGCACATTCGCTACCTACGGTTTTCCACATGTGTGTTTGTAAATTTGGGTCCACAGAATTGTACACTGCTGCCCCTTCAGGGTCATGAATAGTGGAAACAGCAAATGATTAAATCTGTAAAATCCAGGGAGGTATTTTCATATGACAGAATACATGGTTTACCAAAATTTTAAGGAAAGCAGAAACATTTGGATATATTTTCTTGTTTAGAAAAAGATTAGTAGGGCTGGCTCAGAGTGTGGTGTTACAGTAACACCAAGGCCAATGGTTCAGATCTCCATACTGGCCAGCTGTCCAAAAAAAAAAAAAAGACTTATCCCTCAGGGAGCATTTTATTTTCATCGTTTTTTTTTCCCCTTTTTGTCTTTTTTCGTGACTGGCAACGGATCGCAACCCTCAGTGTTGCATGGTTCAGATCTCCATACTGGCCAGCTGTCCAAAAAAAAAAAAAAGACTTATCCCTCAGGGAGCATTTTATTTTCATCTTTTTTTTTTCCCCTTTTTGTCTTTTTTCGTGACTGGCAACGGATCGCAACCCTCAGTGTTGCGCCCGCACCGGACCAGGACCGGCAACGGGATCGCAACCCTCGGTGTTGCACCCGCACCTCGCTCAGCCAGTGAGCAGCCGGTCTGTATGTGGGATCCGAACCCTCGGCGGGAGCGTCGCCACACTCCCAAGCGGCGCACTGTAGCAGTGCGCCACCAGGCCGGCCCTTATTTTCATCTTTTAAAGTCATGGTTAATAATCAAACTTGGGGCCGGCCTGGTGGCGCACTGGATAGTGCGCTGCTTGGGAAGCGCGGCGGCGCTCCCGTCGGAGGGTTTGGATCCCACATACAGACCGGTTCCTGCTCACTGGCTGAGCGAGGCGCGGGAGCAACACCGAGGGTTGCGATCCCGTAAATCAAACTTGCACATTGGAATTACTGGGGAATCTCTTACAAAATTCAAGTGCCTGTGTTTCACCTCAGACAGATTCAGCAGTCTCATAGATGGTACCTCATCTTGCTCTAAAAAACACTTAAGAAAATTTGAAATTCCCCTTCAATATATCTCATGTTTTGAACTAAAGTGTTGATATAAAGTTTTCCCTTTACTATATACAGGGAAAACTTAATCTCATATGCATTCTTTTTTTTTTTTTTTGACCGGTAAGGGGATGCAACCCTTGGCTTGGTGTCGCCCGCACCACGCTCAGCGGGTGAGCGCACCGGCCATCCTTATATAGGATCCGAACCTGCGGCGGGAGTGCCGCTGCGCTCCCAAGCGCCGCACTCTCCCGAGTGCGCCACGGGGCCGGCCCTCGTATGTATTCTGATTTTCTAATCATATGCATTCTTTCTCCTGAGAAATAATTCATGAGATGCCAAGGAAACACTTTTAAAAACAGAGTAAGAACAAAAGTAAAATTCAAGGGGACATACTTAAATAAGCAAGTGGGAAAAACAAAAATATAGTCAGGGCAAAAAAAGCAAGATAAAAGTACTAGAGAACTTTTAAAAACATTTAAAAATGTTTTTAGGAATAGGATATAGTTAGAACCAAATAGTCATAGGAACAAGGGCATCAGTCAAAAAATTAGTTTTAAAGGCTTTCTCTAGCTATGACCCATACTTTTCTAAAGTTCTGGTTAGGGAATATAGATGATTTTTATGTTAAATTGCATGGCATATTATGTATTTACTGAGAATTCTGGCTCTCTCCAACTGCAGCCTCCCAGTCATGAACTAGAACTCTTAAAAATAAAGATTGTTTTAATTTCAAACCATGGTTTTAAACCATAGTTTGTTGTTGGTGGTGTTTTCTTTTATCCTAGGGTTCAATTAAGGACCAGTTAAAAGCCTATGGAGCTCTTACTGAGAATGTGACTAGGAAATACACCCGTCAGATTCTAGAGGGTGTCCATTATTTGCACAGTAATATGATTGTCCACAGAGATATCAAAGGTAAGTAATGAGGTATATTTTATTTTAAATACATAGTTCTTTATGAATGTGAGTGAAACAAGTGATATATATTTAATACATTTAACATTTAAATTAATACATCTGCCTCTAAAATACCACAGGGAAACAGTTCTGCTTTTTCATGGGCTTCATCAGTGTTCCATAAGACCAGGCCCAGTGTTCAGGTATACACAAATGAATAGCTCCACTGTGGTGGTTCAGAGAATCAATAAAGTTCAAAATTAAGAGAGGCCATGTTTTCATGTATACTGAATAAGCCGTAGAATAGAGTAATTAAGAGTATGGGCTCTGCCACCAAGTGGCCTGATTCAATTTCAGGCTTTAGGGCTGGCCAGTTAGCTCGCTTGAGAGAACATAGTGCTGATAACACCAGGGTCATGGGTGTGGAGCCCTGTACTGGCCAGCTGCCAAAAACAAAACAAAAATTCTAGCTTTATCCATCACTGTGTTACCTTGGACAAGTTACTTAATCTGTTTATGCCTCAGTTCCTCATTCTTAAATGAGGGTGATAATATTATCCAACTCATAGGATTCTTGTAAGGATTATGTGAGTTAATGCATGTAATATGCTTAAAATAGTGCCTGGTACCTAGAAAAAAAGTTAGCTACGACAATGACATACTTTAGCTACGACAATGACATACTTTATATTGAGATATTTAAAGTCGTGGGAATGGATGTCATTATTTAGGGAAAGAATAAAGAGGAGGGAAGAAAAGAGCCCAAGATTGAGCTTTGATGAACTCCAACTTGTTAAACTCACTTTTTTTTTTTTAAAAGATGACTGGTAAGGGGATCTTAACCCTTGACTTGGTGTTGTCAACACTACGCTCAGCCAGTGAGCTAACTGGCCATCCCCATATGGGATCCGAACCCGCGGCCTTGGTGTTATCAGCACTACATTCTCCCGAGTGAGCCACGGGCCGGCCCCTAAACTCACTTTTTAAAACTCATAATCTTAGCTGTTTTCAGGAGTCAGGTATGTAAGTAAATGCATGAAGTGACACAAGTGCAAGTGGTGGGGAGGTGTAGGATTGGAGAGTGCTTATTAGAGCTCTGTACTGTGATGCATTCCTGGAGGTTGGATTCTGTAAAACTGGGCTGTGACCCCAAATTTAGAAGTCACTTTATCAATATAAATAATGTGTGTATAAATATATTATTCATTGGTCTTGCTGGAGGCTTTTAGGAGCTCTCAGGCTTTCGCTTCCTTTCTGTGCTGTGGCATATACTGACTATCCACATTTAGGCCAAAGATACCATTCCTAACCAGTTTCTGGTGATAGGGTAGAATCTCCAGAGTGCCTGAGTCAGATTACATGTACTAGAATGGGGCTTAGTAGTGAGTCTGAGAGGATGGGGACATGGCTTATGATCTACCCATCTCCGGCAGACCTCAGTTGTTAAGCATGAAACCTGATATCATAAAGAACCTCACAGAGAAATTATTCTATTAGGAATAATCTCTATTCAAGCCTGCTTCTCATTAGCCTTCATAATGAGGCAAGGCAAAGGAGCTGAGGGAGCTACCCTCTGAGTGGATCCTCTTCTAACCTTGCCAGAAAGAGTGATGAACCAGCCTGGTCAAATGAGGAAGTTGGAAGCAAGCTGATATTAAAGCATTATAGGGCAAATATATTGATAAGGGAAAAAAGTAAAATATAGAATTGGATGTGCATTATGATCTCATATTTGTAAAATTCAAGTATGACCTAGAAGAGAAATTTCCATGATTAACAGTGGTTATTGCCAAATGATAAGGTAAGTGATAGTTGTTTTCTTCTACATACTGTTTCTTATTTCCCAAATTTTTATGAGCAACTTTTAAATAGTAAGAGAACAGGAAGGATAGTTGAGTGGTTTTAAGTTTAAACCCATGAGTTCATAATGAAACTTAGGATGAAAATGAATTGATCATTAGTACTAGGGAACCAGCTTATTCAAAATCTGGTTCCTCTATTTTGCCTTTTTAAAAAAAAAAAACAAACTATACCACTGAAGACCAAATACTGGATAAAAGGAAATAGAAGTATAGTTCAGTCGGTTAGATTGTGGTATTGTAATACCAAGGTCAAGGGTTCAGATCCCCGTACCAGCCAGCAACAACAACAAAAGCAAACAAAAAAAGTATTTTGGCTATTTCACAAGCACTAATGAACTAATAGATATAGGCACTAAACATTAAGAGCTGCTGTCATTACTAAAATAGAGACTGTCTAGAATACAATATGTCTAGTTATGAGACAGTCTAGAATACAATATCTATCTAGTTTTGTCCCCCAACCCCATGAATCTGATCTAGACTACAGGTTCAACTACTAGATTATGGAATGTATATATAGGACAGATGAGCATGTTAAAATGAACTCCTTGGGGTACAGACAGCAAAATCTAGACCATGACAAAGCTGTAGGCAGACAACTTAGTTTCTTCAGAAATTGCAAGGAAAAAAAATGCAAAGAAAAAAAAATCAGAGGGACCTTTAGATTAGCAAAGACTTAATGTGTGGATCTTATTTTGATTTTAGTGTTAAAAAATTGAACACCAAGTATATATTGATAATATTAAGGAATTATTATTCATCCTCTTAGGTGTGATAAGAGTCCTTATCTTTTAAAGATATGTACTGAACTATTTATTGATCACGATATCTTGAATTTGCTTCAGCTACTATGGGAGGGAATGGGGAAGATGGACAGTACGGTTGGGGCCTTGTCCAAATGGGTGTTGGTGCTGGGTGATGGGTACATAAACTATTCTGTCCACTTTTGTGTATGTTTGAAAAGTCTCAATAACTTACTTTTAACTTACCCAGAATAAGTTTTAAGTAAATAGAAAACTATATCAGGAAACTGCCTTCCCATTTTTTCCTTGGTCCCTCCTGTGGATGAACATTGGTTCAGCATTATAAGCTCTTCCTGTTTCTGACTTGCCTGGGACTGTTCCTTCACTGCTTATATCTAGGAAAACTGGTTGGTTTGTTGTCCTTCCACTGGTTAAATATTTTGGAGATGGTGGCTTTTTTGACAGAGTCCTTTTTAAAGTTTTGGATGGTGGAGAATGTTAAATAGGCAGTGCTGTTTTAGAAGATCACTGGTATCATGGCACATTTAGGTTTAAGGCATTCAGAGAATGGATCCTGGACTCTCCCCTGGAGATGAACTTTGGAGAACCATCATTGATTAGGCTGAGGGATTTGCTGGGAGAAAAGAAAGATAAGTACAGAAGCTTATGGTGGGGATGAAGAGTCTACATTCTCTCTGGTCTATAATGTAGATTTTTTTCCCCCACTATTCACTCTCCTTCTTAGAGACCATTAAAAAAAAACAAAAAGGATAAGAGGACAAAAAAATGTAAAATATGGTTAAGGTTATGGGAGACATAAAAGTAAGAATTGAAGTAAAATTTAAAAATTAAAATTAGATAAAATAAATAGCTATTTTAAAACAGGTAATTTAGGGGCCGGCCCGGTGGCGCACTGGATAGTGCGCCGCTTGGGAAGCGTGGCAGCGCTCCCGTCCGAGGGTTTGGATCCCACGTACAGACCGGCTCCCGCTCACTGGCTGAGCGAGGCGCGGGAGCAACGCCGAGGCTTGCGATCCCGTCGCCGGTCCCCGGTCCGGTACGGGGGCAACACTGAGGGTTGCGATCCGTTGCCAGACACGGAAAAAAGACAAAAAAAACAAACAAACAAAAAAAAACAGGTAATTTATAGGAAAATCTAAAAATGAGAAGAGAAATAATTTATAAAAGATAGAGACTAGCTTATAATCCCAGAAAAAAGATTGAATTTAAAAATTAAGAGGAAAAATAGAAAATAAAAAACAAATGAGCCTAGCACCCAGGTCTTGATTTCTGATACATTCTCCACTGGAAGGAACCAGGGCTCCATGGAGAAATGGCTGATTCTGGGACTGGTGCAGGAAGTATACAAGATAAGCCTGGAGCATCTTCTAGTGCCAGCAAGTAAGAAAGTGTTCAAAAACAACCCAAAGGACAAAACAAAACAAGAACACAATGAGGAGGGAAGGGCAAAGGGACTTAGGAGCCAATGGAAAGAGCTCCCAATGGCCAAAGCTGATACACCTTGAGCAGCAAAATAAAATAGTACTGGATTACAACTCAAAGTACACAGTAAATATCCATGTATTCATAGTGATATAAATAAATGATTTAATAAATAGGAGAGAGGAGACAAATCTCCTCTGCAGAATAATTACAAGTAATTTATATAGCTACTTAGCCCAGAGCGTAGCTCCCTACTCCTTTATTATGGACTGTGCATGGTGAATTTCTTCCAAAGAGTACAGTGGGGATAGGGTATGACTTTACAGTGGGGAACCCAACAAACACCATCTCAAGCCAGGTGATCAAGGTTAACATCAACAGTGATTTTGACAGGATGAGTGCCCTTAATATTATGTGATGAAAATGACACTTTACCTTGGGTCTTCCTCCCAAAAACTTATAACCTCAGTCTAATCATGAGAAAAACATAAGACAAATCCTAATTGAGGGACATTCTACATAAACTTGACCAGTACTTCTCAGAAATGTCAAGGTTGTCAAAAACAAGGAAAGTCTGAGAAACTGTCACACCTAAGAGAAGCCTAAGGAGACATAATGACTAAATATAATGTGGGATCCTGGGACAGAAGAAAGACATTAGGGGAAAACTGAGGAAATCTGAATAAAGTATGGGCTTTAGTTAATAATAGTGTGTCAATATTGGCTCATTAATTATAGCAAATGTACTGTAATAATATAAGATGTTAATAATAGGGAAACTGGGTGTGGGGGTATATGGGAACTCTCTGTACTGTCTTTGCATTTATTCTGTAAATCTAAAGCTGTCTAAAGTTAATCATAAAAGCAAATGAAATTTTAAAGTAGATGAAAAGCTCATGCTTATCAGACACTTAAAATATAGATAGAAATTGAGAGTAAAATTAAAGCAAAACCCAGTATTAAGAAAAACTTTAAAACATAAGGTAACTAATATTTAAGTAATAGCAGAAAAAGTGCTAGAGGTTTTTGACTATGAAGTTCCCTCAGGAAGTTCTTGAGGAGAAGCTGGCTTCTCAGGGAAGTAGATGTCAGCCGTGGGTTTCTTGCTTTATGACAGAGAAACTGGAGACCCGGGAGCCTGCTGTTGCTTTCTTGGTCCTTCACTGAGCTTCATTCTTAGTCCTTTTCTCCCTTTCTCTTTCTGTTCACCCTCACCTCCCACCTGCATCAGTTTTTTTCAGTGGAAGAATCTTCTTAGGTTCTAAGCACACACAGCTGACTAAAAATTCAGTGTTCGGGCAGCAAATTCTTAATGAGCACCAACTATGTGACTGGCTTTATGCCAGGTACTGCTTGGAAGACGAAAAGCAGCCTAATTTTCAAGACAGATTGAAGAAGCTACTAAGGAATTCTCTGCCATCTGTTCTTTTATATTCCAGGTTGTCAATAAAATTCCAGATTGTCAATAAAATTAATGAAATGAGGATATATCTTATTTTTAGGTGCAAATATCCTGCGAGATTCAACAGGCAATGTCAAACTAGGAGATTTTGGGGCCAGCAAACGGCTTCAGACCATCTGTCTCTCGGGGACAGGAATGAAGTCTGTCACAGGCACACCATACTGGATGAGCCCTGAAGTTATCAGTGGAGAAGGCTATGGCAGAAAAGCAGATATCTGGTAGGTTTGGATGTGAGGTTTGTCTGAAAACTACCTGCTTTCTTATATATTTCCACCCAGGGTTGAAATTACTGAGCCAGATTTAAATGATCTTTTGCACTTTTGAAATCAGTGTAAAGAGTGCAAGGATTAACACCATTTTAATTATGCTTCATGGAGGCTTATCATTGACTAAATATTTAGTCATTGAACCTATCTTCCATTTTATAGGAAGGATTTCATCTTAAGCAAACCGTAGCATTAGAAAGCTATCTTATTTTGTTTCCCTAAAGAACTTTAAAAGTAATTAATCTTTGTTGTCAGTGTCTTATAATTCATTTAATCTTTAGTTGCTTAATAATTTTAAGTTAGAACATAAAATGGCCATTTCTTACTTCCCACCCAGAAAAGATTTTAATAGACATTCATTTTAGGCACCCGAAGGTAAATAATTTCTAATGCTTGTATTCTTTGTAACATAAAGACAAAAAATTATTTTTAATGTCAGGTTAGAAAATTATATAAAACAAAAATAATAATATGAATAATGTTCTTTGCCTAACCATTTAAGTGGTAGTCATTAAATCAAGGTTTGTTTTCATCGATTTTTATGTTTATACTATAGTTTTATGTAATTATAACCTTTTAATGAAACTTTAAACTTGAAATATTTAAATATATTTGGAATCCCATTTCTCATTTTCTAGCTAACTAGTTTGCTTTCATGATGCTATTGTTTGTGTAATATATTGCTTTTTATTTCTTTTTAGGAGTGTAGCATGTACTGTGGTAGAAATGCTAACTGAAAAGCCACCTTGGGCTGAATTTGAAGCAATGGCTGCCATCTTTAAAATTGCCACTCAGCCAACCAACCCAAAGCTGCCACCTCATGTCTCAGACTATACTCGAGATTTCCTCAAACGGATCTTTGTAGAGGCCAAACTGAGACCTTCAGCTGATGAACTCTTAAGGCACATGTTTGTGCATTATCACTAGCAGCCAATAACCTCTCCTGTGCCTCTCTACCCAGCTCCCATCTATTCATTCACCTTCTCTCTGACTGCACTTTTCTTTTTTATACAAAAGAGAGATGGGGAGAAAAAAAAGACAAGAGGGAAAGTATTTCTCTTGATTCTTGATTAAATTTGTTTAATAATAATAATAGTAAACTAAATTTTTTATATTTAACCTTTTTTTCCTTTACAAGAACTTGAAACTTTTTTTTTTTTTTTAATTTTTATAATGTACTGATGTGGTTCAGAGAGATAAAGCACTTTAGTACATAGTCACTCTTTTTAGTACAAACAAATCATTTGGAATACCTAAAGATTGTAGAGTTCTTCCCTGTATCACTGACATATTGGTGTTGATGGGGAGACATAGAAAACAAGGAAAAGAAAATGATGTATAATTTGTAGTTTTTAGTGATAGTATTTAAAATAGATCCTCATTTGTGGGGTTGAGCCCTAAACTTGAGTTTAGGGTAGGTACTCAACTTAAAGAATATAGGTTCCTTCTTTTATCTGTATTCTTTAGATCCTAACCTCTGTCTACCAAGCTTTTTGCTCAGTAGGAGTCTTGATAGAAAATATGAATCTGTAAGAGGTATGTTTATTTGTTAATCTTAACCAGTATAATAAGCAAATACACTATAATAGGTCCATGTTACTGGAATCTATAAACCTTGAGGGATAGCTTTCTGCTGAAAAAAAAAAAGAAACATACTGTTTTGTTTTAAAGCAGATATGGGAAGTCAAGGAGCAAATCCTAGTAAAAGACAAAAGGAGATCGCTCTCATTTGTGTGAGCAGTGGAAGAGACCACGTTTGCCAGTGAACACAAATAATGAAAAAAAGAATGAAGTGTTGTTTATTTTAAACTTTGTTCTTTACTCGAGGGGGAAAGTTCCAAAATTAGGGAATGGAGAAAAAAATCAAAATCGTGTACTATCTTCATATATCTAGCTCCTGATTCCCCATAGACAACATTCTTTAGGAACTAAGACTTCAGTCCAGAGTGTCTGTGTGTTAAATCTAGTGTCATGAAATGAAACCTTTGTTTTTGGGATCACAGAATACTGAGGACCTCAAAAAAACAGATATCATGTAAAACATTGATTGTCAGTGGTGGAGCAAGAATAATTTCACTTGGCATTTGGTGATGCCTGGAGACATTTTTGGTTGCCACAACTGGGAGGATACTACTAGTAGGTGGAAGCCAGGGGTGCTACAAAATGGACTAAAATACACGAGGATAGCGCCTCCTCCCCAAAGAATTGTCCTGTCCAAAATGTCAGAAGTGCCAAGATAGAGAAACTCCAATGTAAAGACCAGTCCCAGTTATAAACTAGAGTCAGCCATTTACAAAGCAGTAAATGCAAAAAAGCAAATTTCAGAGAGAAAGTGCTGTAATGCAAATTGAGAATTTTACAAGAGTAGATATCACTACTTTAAGTCAAGGGTGAATAATCTTAACAAACAGCAAGTAGCAATCACTTCCTTACCAGCTCCATATTGCACCCAAATCAGTAACTCTTCCATTTTAGAAACAAAGTGAGTTTGAACACTGAGCCTTTTGAACTCAGCTGTCTGTATATATTCTTTTTTTCAAAGTCAGTTCATAATTATAGGCAAAGAAAAGCATATCAAAACAAAATGTTAACTACTAACAGGAAGGTTTAAAAACGGCCAGGATTTCTAGTATAATGATATTTAATGGAAAGAGATAGCTGGGAAAGGTCCCACTATCTCTAATGGAATTGTGCTACTGAAAAACATGAGGATTATCAGTAATTAGGCCACTTGCAATTTTTTCAGCATATTAAAGCAAGTGCTACATACTTTATTTTTAAAGATCTAGAAAATAATAGTCTTCCTGGAGGCCCTAAATGTGATTGATGTCTTTCATGGGATTCATAAGGGATTCACGTATTTTTATTTTCTGCTAAAAGGTATGCTCATTTAGCCACTCTTCTGAAACTTTGTATCTGAAGTTAGGTAGATCTTGGTTTACTGTATCAAGGTCCTACCTGGCATTCCCTCTAAGAATATCTGAAATTCCATTAAGCTAGTCTGAAAATAAATCAAAGCACAAAATTAGTTTCAGTGCTTCTCCCATACTCTTAAAATCCATGGAAGCAGCTTGCAAGGAAGAATAGGAATTAGGTGTCCCCCTCCTAAATCAACTGCCAAAACTTGTGCTAGAAACATAATCCCCAAGTGTGTGGATCTATTATACTTTCTATATCTTTTATGAGTGAGGGCATCCTTTCTACTTGAGCAAGACCATGGTATCTGGACCAGTGAGCTTTTCCTTTGTTTCTTTGTCTTGTGTGGTTTTGATTTCCTTTTGGCTCATTTTTGGTCTGTCAGGGTAACCAGCAGTGCAAAATATAAGTATGAGACAAATACTCCTTAGAGAGAAATCTGGGGAGACTCTGGAACTCAAAGCAAAATTGCTTGCTTTTTTTCAGACTCCTTTTTCTTTTCTAAATTTGATAGATAATAAAGGCACCTGAAAGAAACTACGTACTACTTTAACACTGCTGCAGAAAACCTTTGCTTTATAAGAAAAATATTATTACCTATGGGAAAGTAATCTTCTTTATGTAAAGACTTAAAAATAGACTAATAGTTTACAGACTTATTATATAAAATATGATGTGAATTTATTTCAAACAAATTGTGGAGGTACCAAAAATCACAATAAAAGTTAATATATATAAAAAGTACTAGAACAAGAAAGCTTGAAGGTGGGGGTAGGGGGTATGGAAGACCAAAAGTACATAAAAAGAAATTTTTGAAAGAAAACACCTTTATCAGGGGAAGTTAAATACAACACTCCAGTTTTTTCTTCTTTCTAATAATGGTATGGATCAACAAATGAAATTTGAACTTTTTGAGATGACTAACTGAATTTTTGTTTTTTAAATGCACAGCTGATTCTTCTATACTGTAATGTTTCTTTGCTGAGGCTGGAAAATAGCCAGACTGCTGACTTTGTGCCTTTAAATGCATTCTGCTTTGACAGTGGCAGACTTTTTGGTGCTGGAGAAGATTCACTAGCAGTCTCACATGTGCTTTTCAGGAAATATCTTTCTACTTAGGCCTTGAGAGATTCAGTGGCATGACTTAGGCTTGGACCAAATATAATATCTTTTACATTGCAGACAAAGTGTATTAAATAAAAAGGTTGAAAAATATCATAATGACTAAGGGAGATTTTGATGGGTTGTAATTCTTTAAAAGTATACAGACTTTGAAAAATTCAGTATGAATATCTTGAAATATTTCAGCACTTTCCTTTGTTTACAAAACATGTTTCTAATTTAAAAAGTAACTAAGACTATTGCCTTAAAAGTTTTAAAAGGCACAGTCACCCTTCCATAACATATATAACAGATTGACATGCTGAACTATAAAAGAAAAATTGAAAACTTTGATTTCAGAGGAAATTGAATTGGCTTTCACTTAGAATCTTACCTTACCGCCAATAGAAATTACATAAAAAAGGCGGAAGTGTTTCTTTACAGTAGTTTTCCTCCAGCTCTTGCATATGTCAGGTCTGGGCTGTAGTAATTCTGAGGTAGACTTGTTATGATACATGAAATCACTAAAAATCAAGTCTGAATAGTTTAGCAGGATGACCAAGCCAGATGCAGACTTCTTGGACCATGGCAGACTTCTGTGCCAGTGATTTCATTTGGGGTCTAGGAACCAATCGCAGTAGCTTGATGTAAAATCAGTGGTGTCAATCAGGTATACAAATCTATCCATTTTTTAAAATAGAGTGAATCTTTTTTCATTTGCTTATTCAATAATTGTGAATTATTGTGTCAGGGACAAAATTGACATCCTTGAGGAAGTCATAGTCTTGGAGGAACATGGACAAACAGTTATTTTATGGCAACCCAAACTGAAAGTTCAACGATAATGTTTTAAAATGTTATGATTATTTTTTATGAAGTAAGGGGAAAGCAATTTTATGTAATCATTGCCTGTTATAAACTGAATGTCATTAACAACAGGGATTAGAGTAAAAGTATTGCCAAATTGGAGGGACCTCCCCTAGGTCAGGCAGCCTCTCTCTCAGGACCCCTCTTACTACAAAACCCAGCCTCTACTCAAACAGTTCCAGTGATGCAGAACATTTATTCCGTAATAGTTTTTTTTTTTTTTCCAGCTGTCTCGTTTAAAGAAAAAACATTTTCTTTTGGTCTAAATTTTGAAAATACCCAAAATATTTGATAGAAACTAAACCCTGTCAAAAATGTTATTTATGGTAATATCAGGAAAATTTCTTGAGACCATATTGATTTATCGTTAAGTTTGGCCTTTGTATTAATGTAATGTTCATATTTATTTGAATTTTAAGATTGATTAAATGTTAATGAAAAGCAATTTAATTGTTAATTTTTAGTAGTGCCTTTTTCTCTGTATGCCTTAATTTTATTTTATATTAATAATAATTAGTTACCCACCAAAATGAAAATTTTTCCAAAATCAGTCAAGAGTTCATTTGGCCTTAGACTGTGTATTGGCCCTTAAATGTTTCTTAATGCCTGCTTTCTCTTCCTACCCTTTTCTACCTCCCTTTTTATTTATTTTTTAAATGTTAGGAGAGAAACATTAGCATTTGTCTGTGATAGACACACTGCATTCTCCACTATTTGTGAATTCCTACGATAGGCATAGAAAGAGGTATTCTCATTCTAAAAAGACATAGTAAATTGTTTTCAAGGTTGGTTACTTGATTTTTTATCACATTGGTACTGTCCAAGTTCTTTGTGTATCATGGTTCAATTACAATTTTCATAGCTGAGCTAGAGTGATTGTTTTTGCCCTGAAGAGGTCATTTAGATGGTTTGTAAATGTTGAGGCAAAGAGGCCTAGGGCAATGAGCAAGAAATCCAGGGATAGGAAAATCTAATCCTTTTTAACTAACATTTTTACTAATACTCTTCTAGCTTACTTCTCTGTGAAGTGTGTGTGGGGGTGGGTGGGTGGGTGTTGTTTGAAGCTGGGGCAGGGGTGGGAAGGAAGGAAGCAAAGGTGTGAATGTTCATTAGATCAGTCTCTGTTCTTGGAAGAACAGCTCAAAAATGTATGACCTACTGATGATGGATGAGTATAGTATTGTCAGATAGGAACACTAGTACATTTTCCACAAGTAGCTA